CCTTTCCTTTCCTTTCCTTTCCTTTCCTTTCCTTTCCTTTCCTTTCCCTCCTTCTTTCTTTCTAACCCTTAATGATCTCCTGACTTGCTAAAATTTGATGAAGTAGGTCTATGGGGTCCTGGCATGCATATTTTCTTTGATAAAGTTCACCCAATGGTTTTGACACACAACTGGGCATCAGATCCCTTGGGACTTCAGTTACAAATAGTCATGAGCCACCATGTGGGTGCTGAGAATCAAATGCAGGTTGTCTGAAAGAGTAACCAGTGCTCTTAATTGTTGAGCCATCTCTGCAGCCCAACATTTCAGATATTAAAGTCAAATCTTTAACAATTAACTTTTATAAGATGGACTTCTTAAGCCAGGTGGTAGTAGGGCACACCTTTAATACCAGCACTTGGGAGGCAGAGGCAGGCAGATCTCTGTAAGTTTGAGGCTAGCCTGGTCTACAGAGTGAGTTCCAGGACAGCCAAGGCTACACAGAGAAACCCTGTCTCAAACAAACAAACAAACACTTTATTTTTTATTTTTTTTTAGGTTTTTCAAGACAGGGTTTCTCTGTGTAGCCCTGGCTGTCCTGGAACTCACTCTGTAGACCAGGCTGGCCTTGAACTCAGAAATCCGTCTACCTCTGCCTCCCAAGTGCTGGGATTAAAGGTGTGCACCACCACTGCCCAGCTCAAACGCTTCTTTTTAAAGGGAGAACTTACTTAAATTACATAGAAGATGAGTTTGTAAGTGACTTAGAAATATTTAAGGGGCAACATCTTGGGACTGTGAATTTATAACTCAACAGTATTTTTATAAGTAGTGGAATTATAAGTAACTAAAGTATGCTTTTCTATATTCAGTACTCTGTCTCATGGTAGGACTCATTTAACAGGAAAGAGATTGATATATTTTGCTAAAGTTATTGGCATTCTGTAACTATGCTAAATGCTAAATGTGAGGTTCTTTTTGGAGCAAAGTTAGAACTGACAATTCCTTAAATTGACTTCAGTTAAATAAGTTCTTACAGGGTCTCACAATGTAGCTCTGGCTACCCTGGAGCTTCTTATGTAGACCAGGGTGGCCTCAACTCACAAGATCCTCCTCCCTCTGATTCTCAAGTGCTAGGATCAAAGGCATGAGTCATCACTACTGGTTAAAACAGATTAAAAGAACGTGTATATGTCTGTTTGTGGGTAACTGTACAGGATTCATGCTTAAATACCATTTCCCCATAAAGTCTGCATGCTTAGTGGCATGGCACATGGACTCTTTAGACTTTAAGACATCGATGATTCTGTTTTATGTGTGGATGTATGTATACATGTAATTTATGCGCCTATACCACCGATCTTTGTTCCTAACATAATACTTTGACCAGGTACTGGACCATACTGAAGAGTGGCCACATCCTTTCAAGCACAGAGCTCATACTACTGTGTGTGTGTGTGGGGGGGGAAGCAAACTTTCTGGCTCTCACATGTAAGCTATGATTAGGAGAGAATATAAAAAGCGTGCATCTTCACTCACAAAAACTATTCAAAGTACTATTTTTCTCCTTTTAAAGGAAATTTTCATGTTCTATGTGATCAGCATCAAGACTGAATATTGATGTTTTGTTTCAAGTTGTTTTTAATACTTTTTTCAGAGAGATACTCAGATCTGTGAAAAAGGCAAAAATGAAAGTCATGTACAGAATGTAGAGAGCGGTGATTTAGACATTCGCTTTTGTATGACTGTATGTTCGAGGCCTGGGAAATGCAGCTTACCACAAAGTATTTCACCACAAGAAATCAATAATTTCAAAGCTGGTAAAACTTAAGTATCAATTCAACCTTTTCTTCCTCCTTTAAACAGAAACTACAAGTAGGTTGATAGGGTAAAGAATATCAACTGGACTACTATTATGCTTACCTTACAGCTTTGAAAAACTCTGATTTCTTGTGTGTTTCAGTGGTGAGCTGCATTTCCTGAGTGTCAGCAGACTTCCCAGCAGGAATTCCAGTCTGATGAAGAATCAGCCAAAGGAAGTCCTCACTGAGAGATACACTGGTATCATTCACTGAGTGGAAACAGTGAAAGAGTAACATATTTCTAAAGGGAATTTACATTATTAATACATGTGCTTTTGTAGCTACTTACAGAAATACACTTTTATCTTTCCATGGTTGAAAAAATAAGTAATTTTCCTCAAAACCCTAGCTTTGTCTCTAAAGCCTTTTCTGTTTTACTCTTCTATCCTATCTCTGGGATGCTATTCATGACAGTATCACTGTCTTCCTAAACATAAACCAAAATAATTTAAAGTCTTAACATGAACAATTGTGATGGCACATGTTCTAGAAGTAGCTCTGAGTGGGTTGCAGGGGAGAGACAGAAACCTTCCAAGTCCTTTGCATGACTTTTAATCAGCTGGAGTAGGCCAATTCTCATAGCAATAAACATCTGGAAATTCTGTTCAACCTACATTGAAGTAATTAAAAATTTCAAACAAACATTTAACATTTTAAATAGAAACAAAGGATCTACAGAAACTAGCACTATAAACTATAAATTAGAATTTTTCTTTAAAAAAAATACTGAAATATGAGGCTGGAGATGGCTTGATGGTTAAAAGTACTGGCTGTTTTTTTAGACGACTGGAATTCAGTCCCCAGGACCAATATGGCAGCTCACAGCCATCTCTAACTCCAGTTCCAGAGGATATAGTGGCCTCCAAGGGCAGTAGGCACATATGTGGTACACATATATACATAAAGGCAAAGCTCTCATACCAAAAAAAAAAAATTCCTGAAAGATAAACTTTTTACTGGCTATTCTGAATCATGGTTTATTGCATTTATTATTCTAAATTGGATGTCAATAAAGTACTGGTAGTTCAATGGATGCATCTAAACTAATTAAAATAAAAACTTTAACTCCTCAGTTACATTAATATTACCAGTGTATAATCATGACACACAGCTAGTGAGAAAAAATTTAATGTATAGCAATATTCTAGACAGAGTATCTAAACTAGAGAGATGGTTGTTACCATCAAAGGCTTTACCTGGTTTGAGGAGGTGTGGATGTGTAACTGGGCTAGGCTGGCCTAAGTACCGATTTGGAATCTTCTTTACTGGCACAGGCTGGAGGGAGTACCTTCGTTTTAAACATGACATGCATCCTGAGGAAAAAACAAAGGATGAAATGGAACAGCGAATATGAGCATCTTCATAGCATCTATACTATTCCCAGCAGTTTGGACCCTTACAAAATACATACTACATGTCTTTCCTCCTCCCTCCAATATGTATGTGGCTCTTTCTCTGTGCCAGAGCTTGTACTGAACCCTAAGAAACAGAAATAAGGTCTTCACCCTCACAGATTTTAGTCTACTACAGTAAACCAAACACAAACACACAATACACTTATGAATAAGGAACTATGAGGAGGAGGAAGAATAACGAAAAACAAACAAGGGTCAGAAAGGAGTTCAAGGGTAGCTTGAGCCTAAGTTCTAAAATTTGGAAAACTAGAATTAATGTTTTTATCAAGACTATGTTAGCTACAAGGAAACAAGTACTTGCTATCTCATTTAATCTCGGAATGTTATAGTCTGATAAAATAACGTATGAGAAAATGCTTAATCATAGTTGACATATAAGTGAATATGGTTAGCATTAATTTAACAGAACTTTACTGAGGATAAGACTGTTTGCCCTAGTAGACAAAATGAAGTAAGGTGGAGCACAGACAAAACAGAACATAAAATACTACATAATAAAGTGATAGACTCATATACATAGCAAGTGTTCCAAGATGGGCCGGGTCATTCATAAAAGACATTTGTGCAGAAGCGAGTGATCAGACTGTTCTGAACAGAAACCATCCAAGTTGCTTCCCCTTGAGGAGAGAAGTGAAAAGAGGCATAATGCACATCATTGTAGCAGGCATCTCAAGTGAAAACCTCTAGTTTCTTTGGAAAGTCAGTTATGTCAAATGATGTTCTTATTGGGGCACACAGGCGAAAGAATGTTTCACTGAAGCAGACACAGGTAAAAGAACATGTGATGTTTAGAAAGAATATAAATATGACCCCACAGCAGTGGAAATGAGAGCATTAGTTTGCCTTGCTCCACCTCCCTTGTCTTTGCTGACAATACATATGTATTGGTTTGCCTTACACTGTGTTTCTGAGCTTTGCTTGTGGTGATTTCAGAGAGAGAAACTCGCCAAAGAACTTCTGGTGAGGTTCCTGCAGCTTCTTGCCCTTTCTGTGGACTTGGTTATTGGTGAGCCTTGCCATTTCTTCTGAATTGAACTGCCCTTGCTGATTCGTGTGTGTTGTCTGCTGAGTGGACTGGACTGCTGCCAGTTCATGTTTGGTGTCTGCTAGTGGACTGTACTGAGAACAATGAAGACTGGAATTGCCCCAAAACACTATTTCTAAATAGGTCCATTTCCCTTGTATCCTAATAACCTTTCTTTTCACTACCTCTGGTGGTTGGCAGGCTAGACAGGAATTTAAATCCTTATTAAAGTAGGTTGAGAAAAATTTACACCTACAGGCACTTGTGCAACAGTAGGTTACTCTGCTAGCAGACCTAAAAAGCTTGGTATGGTTTAATGGATATCTAAGTTCGAGGTCAGACTGGTCTATGGCTACAGTGAGACCCTGACTCAAAAATCTCCAAACAAATGAGTTATCAGGATCAGATATAGAAAAACAACTTGTTTAAGGTTATACAGCATTAGACAAAATGAGATTCAACTTTAGGATTATTTAAATGAAAAATCTTTGGACTTAGCTTTCCATCCAGATTCAATGAAGATCTTATTTAATCCTGACACAATTAGTATTGATTGTAAAGTCTTCGACATATATTCAGTCCAAAAGTAGAGTCCAAAAGTCAGGTCAAGATAAAGACTTCTCTAGAGCCTGTGAAGCATTATCGATGGCATATATCAGATGTTAGGAGTCTGTATGTGGTGTATATGAGAGTTTGTGAGTACATATGTGCACACATGCATGGAAGCTAGAGGTTTACAACAAGTGTCTTCTTTACTTTAGTTGCACTTCACTGCATTTTTGGAGACAGAGACTCACTAACCCTAGAATTCACCAATTTGGCTAGACTGGCTGGCCAGCAAGCAAGCTTCAAGGGTCCTCAACCCTTGAGTCCATGCTTGCACTACAGACATACACCACCACACCCAGATGTGCAGACTTGCACATTCCTGATCTTGGATCCTGCCAAGTGTATGGTATTATTATGGTATTTGTTGTAGCAGCCTTGGGGACTAACGCAACGACTTGCTAAGCTTTCAAGGTACCAACTGATAATTGGCTGCACGTATTACAAGTCTATATCTGCTCTTAAATCAGGGCCAGATAGAAAAAGAGAGCAGGTGTTGACTAATTTTTTTAAGATTTAAAAAAAAATAAACTTTATTAGCCAGACAGTGGTGGCACATGCCTTTAATCCCAGTACTCAGGAGCCAGAGGCAAGCAGATCTGAGTTTAAGGCCAACATGGTCTACAGAGTGAGTTTCAGGACAGCCAGGGCTACACAGAGAAATCCTGTCTCAAACCTCCCACCCCACCCCCAAAACAAAAAACAAACAAAAAAACCGACTACCGCCAACAACAAAAATAAACCAAAAATCTTTATTATAGAGAACTTCCAAAATTAAAAAATCACATTCCCAAATCAATCATACCCAAAGTTTACATGTCTGTGAACATCTGTAGTGAGCAGCCATCTGGGATAGGGAGCTTTGGAGCTTCACACTGAATGTCATATTTTCCCTACCAAATATACTTTTATGCTCTTACCACCACAAATAAAAAACAACTTTTCATTCTCTTTTAGAACTTTTAACTTAAATATTTTTAAAACATTTACCCCTCCAGAGAAATAACTTTCTCCAGAGCACATCAGTCTTTGCCTCTTCTATTTTTTAGTTGCCTCTTGATGTTTGTTTCTAGAACAAGAGGGCCAGGCATATGTAAGAGCATGCTAGTAGGGTGAATGGAGTGAAGTGGTATGAAGAAAAAGAGCAGAATTAAAAGTTCTGAGGCCGGGCTGGAGAGATGGCTCAGTGGTTAAGAGCACTGACTGCACTTCCTGAGGTCCTGAGTTCAAATCCCAGCAACCACATGGTGGCTCACAACCATCTACAATGAGATCTGATGCCCTCTTCTGGTGTGTCTGAAGACAGCAACCGTGTATTCATATATAATAAATAAATAAATCTTTAAAAAAAAAAAAAAAAAAGTTCTGAGGCCAGGCTGCAGCTCAGAGACACAGCTTTTTTTTTTTTTTTTTTTGGTTTTTCGAGACAGGGTTTCTCTGTATAGCTCTGGCTGTCCTGGAACTCACTCTGTAGACCAGGCTGGCCTCGAACTCAGAAATTCGCCTGTCTCTGCCTCCGAGACACAGCTTTTAACTTCCACACGCTGGGCTTTGGTACAATCCCTGGCACTGAAAAACAGAGGAAACTCTACTTAGAGTTGGGAGTATTGGTTCAGCGGTGAAACATTTTCTTAGCATATCAAAGCCCAGTGCTGAGTGTAGAAAGAAGTGAATTTATCAGACTCATCTCACTTCTTTACTGGTGAGCAATACCTGTCTCAAATACAATTCATATAAAACAGCACAGCCGTACTTTCCCTTTCTACAATAGGAAGAAACACACCATACTTGATGCTTACAAATTGTATATAGCCAACTATTCTGTTTTATATTGTATATATAGCCAACTATATATTGTATATAGCCAACTATTCTATTTATTTAAGTTATATGACCTAACTAGGTAAATTATTATTATTATTATTATTATTATTATTATTATTATTTTGAGGTATGGTTTCACTATAGTCCTAGCTGCCCTGTAACTTGCAATGTAATCTAGGCTGGCAAGGATTGGCTCAGTGAGCTCAGCCACATATAGATGCATGTATATATATGTGCGTGTGCGTGTGTTTGGGACTATGTAGCCTTGGCTGGCCTAGAACTTGCTATGTAGACCAGACTGGCCCTGAACTCACATGTACTCACCTGCTTCAGCCTCCCTGGTGCTGGGATTAAAAGTATGTACCATTAAAAGCATTGTTCTATTCCTGTCGTTTTGTTTTCCTAGAAAACCCCCTTTGTTCTTCATCTCTCCCTGTTCATACCTGTTTGCTTTCTATCATACCATCAGTTAAATTATTTTCAGTGACAGTAAATGTATCATGTGGTTTAGGCTCTTTGCTAGGTGTGATGAAATTTTGCTTAGTGTTTGGTTTGGTTTTGAGAGACTGGCTTACTTTTATACTTTATTATAGTATATTTTCCCAAATTCTGAGGGCTTCTTAGGAGATTAGCTCCCACCCCCAATTTTCTAACTTTCCTCTGGATCACAGACTGTCCTACATTTTGCAATGTCTAGAACCCACACTCCAAAGTTCTGGTCTAAGAAATGAGAGTAGAGTGAAAAGAACAGAATTTGAAACCAGGCTCAAGTTGAAATATTAAATTTTCATTAACAAGTGACAGGTTTCTACAAATTATCTCTTAGAATCCAGTTTATTATGAACACAAAATATTTGTTTTGGTGGAAACCTGTGTCAATTAAATAAGAAAGTAAAAATAAACATACCAGGGAGTATGACTCAGGATATAACCAACAGATACACGTATCACTTTAGTGTATGGAAGCAGGTACACTAGGAAGAATTCATATTGAGTTTTAAGTGTTTCACAGTCCTACCAGTCTCTCAAAACCAAACCAAGCACTAAGCAAAATTTGATAAGACCTGGCAAAGAGCCTAAACCACATGCTACATTTACTGTCACTGAAAATAATTTAACTGATGGTATGATAGAAAGCAAACAGGTATGAACAGGGAAGGATGAAGAGCAAAGAGGGTTTTCTAGGAAAACAAAACGACAGGATAGAACAATTAATTTTTTTTTAAATTGTAGATAATTTACCTGTAAAGTCAACTTTTTTTCCTTTTTTAAAGATCTATTTTTATTAGCCATGGTGGCTCATGTCTTTAATCCAAGAATTTAGGAGGCAGAGGCAGGTAAATCTCTGGGTTCGAGGCCAATGTGGTCTACAGAGCTAGTTCCAAGACAGCCAGGGCTACACAAAGAAATCCTGTCTTGAAAACCAAAAAAACGGGCTGGAGAGATGGCTCAGTGGTTAAGAGCACTGACTGCACTTCCAGAGGTCCTGAGTTCAAATCCCAGCAACCACATGGTGGCTCGCAACCATCTGTAATGAGATCTGATGCCCTCTTCTGGTGTGTCTGAAGACAGCTACAGTGTATTCATATATAATAAATAAATAAATCTTAAAAAAAAAAAAAAAGAAAACCAAAAAAACTAGCAGGCCAGAAGAGGGCATCAGATCCCATTATAGATATAATCATATATAGCCAGTGCTCTTAACCTCTGAGCCATCTATCCAGCACCCCAACAAAAGTATTCAGAGTTTTTATTTTTCTAAATAAAAACACAGAAGCTGGGTGATAGTGGTGCACACCTTTAATCCCAGCACTCAGGAGGCAGAGGCTGGCGGATCTCTGAGTTTGAGGGCATCCTGGTTTACAGAGTAAGTTCCAGGACAACCAGGGCTACTCAGTGAAACCCGGTCTTGAAAAGCCAAACCAACCAACCAACCAACCAACCAACCAAGCAACCAACCAAACCCCATAGAACTATGCAGTAATTAAGGGTCAGTAATCTGGAGGTCAGAATATATAAAAGAAACGTCGTGGCTATTAGCTATAGATTGCACAGAGTGACTTAGGAGAAGTTGCATTTAGAAGATACAATCCCTATCTCTAGCCCAGTATGACACCATAATGCAGCTCTGACATGCTTGACCCTCTGCTTGCCACACAATCAGAACCCTCAAATCTTTCAGCAGTGGCCCACCCACAGTACTAACATTGCCTTCAATGTAAAAATATGCCTATTTGCAGTCACTTCTGCCACCTCCAACAGCAACAGAGCCTGAGCTGCAACGAAAACACGGTGCTCACAACCAAGGGTGTTTGTTTCTAATACTGTCGAACTATGGTGGACTACTATGAAGTTCTAGGAGTGCAGAGATATGCGTCACCGGAAGACATTAAAAGAGCTTACCGTAAAGTAGCACTTAAATGGCATCCTGATAAAAATCCAGAAAATAAAGAGGAAGCAGAGCGAAAATTCAAAGAAGTCGCCGAGGCATATGAAGTGTTATCAAATGGTGAAAAACGGGACATTTATGACAAATATGGCAAGGAAGGATTAAACGGTGGAGGTGGAAGTCATCTTGACGATGAACATGAGTACGGTTTCATATTCCGTAAGGCAGATGATGTCTTTAAAGAAATTTTTGGTGAAAGGGATCCATTTTCGTTTCACTTCTTTGAAGACTCACTTGAGGAGCTTTTAAGCAGTTCAAGAAGCTCCAACGGAAGCAGAAGCAGAGGCACAGGATCCCTTTTCTCCCGGTCCTATGACCACCCAGTATTTGCCAGGCTCTCTTCTTATGATACGGGATATTCGTCTTATGTTTCACTGGGGCATGAGGGCCTTACTTCATTCTCTTCCCTGGCATTTGACGATACTGAGATGGGCAACTATATACCCATTACACCTTCAGGCAAAGTTATTAATGGAAGAAATATTAATACAAAGAAAACTTTTGAGAACCGTCAAGAAAGAGAAGCTGAAGATGACAG